GAGAAAGATTTAAAAGGGACCTGAGGGGCAACTTTTTCACACAGAAGGCGGTTTGTATGTGGAATGAATTGCCGGAGGAAATGATAGATGCTGGTATAGTTACAACATGTAAAAAACATTTGGATAGGCACATGAATAGAAAGGTTTAGAGGAATAATGGCCAAATGCAGGCAAGTGGGATTAGTATGGTTTTGAGAAACTTGGGTGGTTCAAACGAGTTGGCCAAAGGACCTGTTTCCATGCTGTATGACTCTAGAACTCTATGGCCCTATGATTCTAGTCACAAATAATTACAGCTGAAGAAGATCATTTGGCCTGTCTTAATTCATCCATCAAGAGAGGGCCGAAAGTTGTAACTCCCATTGTAACATCCATTTGTTTCTTCAATGATTCTTGGATTTCTGACTCCACAGCTCTTTCTGGAAGTTTATTCCACATCTTAATCACACTTTGTGTGAAGAAGTTGTTCTTGATATCAAATCTAACATTTTGTCTTGCTGGTTTAAACTAGTGTCTCTTTGTTCTGCACAAGAGAAATACAGAGAAATATTTTAGGTTAATATGTTCTATATTGTGGTTGAAGGCATGTGATTTTTACACATATTTATTAATATAAATTATTTTAGAGTTTGGAACTTGTGCTAGTGGCATGTGCATCTTTGTGTATGAGCAGGTTTACTGAAGCATTGAGAGATAAGAACTGCCGATGCTGGAGTCAGATAACACAGTGTGGAGCTAGAGGAACACAACAGGTCAGGCAGCATCAGAGGAGCAGGAAAGCTGACGTTTCATGTCCATAATCCCATTGCGAGGAAGAAGGGTTCCGACCTGAAACATCAGCTTTCCTGCTCCTCTGATGCTGCCTAGCCTGCTGTGTTCCTCCAGTTCCACACTGTGTTATTACTGATCAATTGATCTGTTTTTCTGGAGCCATGATGTTTGAAACCTATATGAAAAAGTGAGTTCCTAGAGTGCTAATGGGAGATTTACAGGAGGAAAGAGTAATAATTGAAGAATATTAGTCTGCTTTCAGTCAGAAAGATCAGGGGTTTTATTTTTCTTTTGGTTAGGGAAACATCCATAGATTGGAAAGCTTTTGGTTTCAGTTCGCAGTGCTGATTGAAGTTAGATATAAGAACGTAGTTCTTCTGCAGCAAGGAGTTGGTTTGGAAAAATTGGAAATAGGGCCTCTTAGTATAAAGGCTTAACTTGAAATTTTCATACCAGAAGTGTTTGGGTAGAACCATGAGGTGGTTATTCAAAGCTGAAAAGTCTGTGCTCAGTTGTATAAGTACTCAAGGAAGAGGCTATTAGACTCTGGAGACTAAGAATTGAAATTAACAGTTAAGTCAAATCTATAGTTTGGATAGAGAAGGGAATTCTGTCTGGTATTTCAGTGCTGCAATTGAACCTGGGTTCCTAGCACTGGCAGCAGTGCTAACCAATGAGTCACCAAACTTGTTGAGCAATTTTACTGAAGAGAACAATTGTTAAATGATTCGAAGCTTTCTGAGCATTGTATTTAATCTATGATTCATGCAAATTTCTGAAAAAAGTTCAGGAGCAACACAGAAGGAGGATGATGGCTGTTTTAAAATTTGCAGAGAATTTTTCAAAATAATGGCTACTGAATGGGCTATACTAACTAATGGCATGCCCACCTATTAAAGTTTACTTTCATTGACAGTGTATGGGAGTATAACACACTAAAAATAAATTTCATCAGGCAATTAGAAGTTGTAAAAACATGTGAACCTGACAAGAGAATATTTTATGTAGACATCACCAAAGCTATGTTCTTTTGGTGACAATAGTATTGTTTGTGCAAACCATCAGCAATGAGAAAGATAATGCAATGAATCTTGTGTTTATTTTGGTTAAGTATGAGTCAGGTCAAGTTCTTTTTGGAGGAATTCTCACCACGAGGCTTGGTTAGATTTCTCATTATTTCACACCAAATCCTCCCATTAACTATCTACCCTGCCCCTAAGGAGGACTTACATATGATTTTATCCCCATCTTGCTGCATACTGTTCCCATAACAATTTATCACTCAATGGATATTCACCAAAATACTGGCATACCTTGTATCTACACCATCTTTGAAAGGCTGCCATACACACCAACAAGCATTGGCAATCCAATGTTGCCACTCACTGTTAGCATAATGGAATAGCAACCACAAAGCCAAGCTACCCATGACACATTATTGGCATGGCTGACATTCCCTTTTGCTTGCAACCCATTCTCTCACCCTCATTGCTGTTTAATCACCAGGCCTTCTATTCTGAGCTACACCTATGTAGTTTCTAATCAACCTATTCAGACATGTTATTACACACCTATGGAGCAGGTGGAACTTGAACCTGGGACTTAAGATTCAAGGGTAGAGACACTGCACCAGAAAAGCTCATCATATCTGAGCAGCCTCTCCCAATCTCCACTGCTTTTCACTCAAAGCCCAGTGGTCACACATATCTTGGCATTGTCCACAGGGACCGTCACAGACAGGCAAACACATGGACAAATGCAAACATGAGATTTTATTCGTAACCACTGAAAGAGAACAGAATGCCAATGAGTACAGACTGTGGTTCATACGCACAATGAAAAAGAAGTCATAGCTTCTTGACATTGACAGTCCATGATGGTCTTCACCACTCAGCTCTCGTCCACTGGAACTGGATGTCAGTAAGCTCCCGTCAGCCTTGTCAAAAGGAGACCTTCCTCCAGCTTAGTGTCTTCATCCTACTTCTGGAAAACTCCTCTTTCCCTGGCTCCTCACCAGCTGTCATGTTTCCTCAATTCTTACTCCAATTGTGCAGAACACAGTGGGACAGAATGAAGTGGTACACTGTGCCTGGATGATACTGGAGGGAGCCCCCAGACTGCTCCAAGCTTTGGAGCTGCACCTTCAACTGCCCTATCTTCTGTTCTACCATGATCCAGATGGCAGCATGTGCACCACGTGATGAAAGTGTCACACTGGCTGAGTGACTAACATATTACAATCAGAAGGGAGTGCCTGCTGTGCTCTGACTCCCTTCCCATCCCAGATCCACTTCAACCATCCCATTTCCCATTGCATTCATTGTGTCTATCATCACACTTATGATGCTGTTCCTCTTGTCTCGTAGCATCCTTGGAAGTTCCACAAATGATGGACCGCTTTTGCTTAGCATTCACCCCCTTTTAAGTTATTGCCATTAAATTCTGTGTCACTAAGATGACAATGCTAGTTTAGCCAGCACCAATGGTCTGGTGTGATCTGCCTTTGAGCAATATTTGATGCATAAGCACGTCTATTCTGCATGCAAGAAATATTTGCAAATGAAATAGCTGGAGTTTGCAAACGTATGTTTCATGTATTTGCTATGGTATGGTGATTATGGCCAATAGCAGCGCCGTCTTGTGGCCTACCATAAACCCCACTCCCCAGCATTCCACACATTCTCCATAAACACGACTATCACTCGGTCACAGTCCTTATTCCCATCTCCACAAGTACTTCTTCCCTGTTGACAGTCCTAGCTTTGACTTCCCCCTCCCCCACCTTTTGGCAGTGATCCCTTCCAATGCCTCAAGAGTCCTCCCACCTCCTGCACTCTTCTTAACAATCAACAGACAGACACCAAGGACTATATTTGCCCTTTACCTGTAAGTGACTTCAACGAGAAGTCCTTAGACATGACTGATTAAACTATGTTGCAACTGTTTGGCTGATGATATATGACTTCCCCTGACTGCTGCTGCTGGCCCTATAGGATGGACCGTTTCCCGTTCCCTGGACTGCAATCGTATGTATTCCCTGATGATGAGCATTCCAAGCTGATGACTGACTCTAGCCAAGACCCTGGCTGTGTGTGGACTGTGCCCCTGACTGACTGTACCAGGACCCCTGATATAATTATGTACCCCATTTGCCTGGACTGAGGTCTAGCCTCCTACCCAGTTCCAACATAGACAAGAGATAGTAGGAACTGCAGATGCTGGAGAATCCGAGACAACAAGGTGCAGGGCTGGATGAACACAGCAGGCCAAGCAGCATCAGAGGAGCAGAAAGGCTGACATTTCGGGCCTAGACCCTTCATCAGAAAAGCCT